TATATCAGTATAGATATATACTATTAATATTATAGGTATGTGTAAGTTTGTTGTAATAATTTTCTTCTGCAACATCTCTATAATCCCTTTAGGAAACTGATGACTCATCAATTAGATTCTAATAGAATTTAAAAGGTGTGACTATACTCCCGGAAACATATTATTTTTCATTCGTCTTACAAAAAACATTTACTTTATTTTTATATTTATATTATTTTTATGAAATCTTTAAGTGTTTTTCATCTTATATTAAATGAAATATTTATTTTTCATTTGCGTAATAATAGCTTATCGGGTTGATTTCTTGCCAAACTGCTATAGTAAGTACTTGTTTGAGCTACAATTTTAAGCACAACGATCTATATATTTGTCTCCAGTCAAGTCGGAGCAGTGAACACGCTTACAAACAGTTGTAGGATTGAGAGGCTCAGCTCAGTAAAAAAACCTCTTGTTTCAACGAGTTTTACGCTAACTTAGATTAATGAACTTTGGTCAATTATTTTTTGCTGGAAATCCTCATTCATTTTCATTAAGTAAGAAAATTCGAGGTCTGACCTTCAAATATTACGAAACTCAGAGAAAATGTTTCGTTTATTCAGTTTTCTAGACCAGACCAATTTCGTTAATTTGATGTCGTAAAAATTTAGACATAGTAATAAAGGGTAAATTAAACAGAGGTATAAAATATTACTCGTAATTAGTTAAATTAAGATCATCTATACTCAAAATAATTAGAATTCTGTTCTATTGTATTGTACAAAATACGTAGTAATTAATTCTTTTGACGACAGAAGACTGTTAAAATTTAAAGGTGAAAAGAACATAAAAAAAAGTTATCTAAGACAGTTTTTAGACATCATTGAACAAATTTAAATACAATACTTGAACAGTTAAAAACACGATACGTATATATTAGTTATACTTGAAAAATATTTTAACTACGGCCTGTCGTTTAGGCTGTTTTACAGCAGTCGTGGACACAGTGAAGAAACGTCGGACCGTAGTTAATTTAAATGTGTGCTACTCGCGTAAACTACAGACAAATCGTTTTGCAATGGTGTTTTTTATGCTAAAAGCTAAAACGAACACAATATCAAAGCAAGACCTAGCTAAATAATAAATCAGTATAATACCGCCGACGCCCAAGACGAGATGGAAATTTTATTTTTCCAAATTTTTAACGTAAATAACTTTAGTGCCCGCTTGAGTCAAAGCTTGTTTAGAAAATTATATTGCGTGACATAGAGTAGCTAATCTTCTTATCCTTTGTTTATAAAACAAACAGTCAGGGTGAAATATGGTGGCTAAATATAACATACACGAGTAAAACTGCTTTGTGTTATACTCCTAAAATTGTATGAGTATTTTCTTTTTTAAATTAGAAACCTTTTATTAGATTTATTTTACAATTAACAATTCCGTATAAATATTTTTTATGATGACTATTAATTTTAAATATCGCACTTTCATAAGTGACATTGGGTTTAAGTTCGAAGGAAACATCTTTACAGATATATAAAGCTCAAGAGTTTGTTTGTTTGTTTGAACGCCTTAATCAGGAACTATGGGTTTGAATTGAAAAATTATATTTGGGTTGGTTATAACATTTGTCGAAGAAGGCTATAGGATATAAAACATTGCGCAGAAATAAATAGAAGCTAAGATACTGCTGCAAATGTGAACCAAAACGGGGAAATTTTTCATCTCTGTGGGTTTCGGATGCGTACGCTGTGAAAATGGTTTAAGACACTCAAAAAATATGTATCAAATAATGATTCCTTTTTAAATGATCTATAAAAATGTGCGCGACACTATATGTCTATCTTTTAAGATTAACTTGCAAGAATGACGGGACGCGACCAATGTCGTGGGCAGCTTAAATTTATAAAGATTTGCAAAAACAAATTTGAATGCCCATAATAACTTTTCTACGCGGACGAAGTCGCTGACACAGCTAGTAACTTATATTTTCAGTAAGAGAGTGTACAAAATGTTGATCTTACCCGTAAAAAGTTTGTTCATGACACAAACGTGTCTGCACCACGCCCTACGCAGTGGAAACAAAATTTTCGTTTTGTTAATTGTGATTAAAGTTACGAGGTTAATTATAATTTTTATTCAATTATAATTATATAATCTTAACTGATTATCATTCTAAGTCTGGCAATCTTGAAGTAAGATTTTCTTTTGTTTCGGAACATAAAAGTGATTGTTAAACATGTTATTTTTTTCAGATTCCTTTATTCAATGTTTAACTAGTTCTGATCGCGGCAACAAAATTTGACGTTGCAAACCTTTATAAATTATAATTGTTAGTCACGACATCGTCGCGTTCCGTCCTTCTTGCGAGTTAATTTTAAAACATAAACATATACAGTCGCAAGCATTATTTAGATAATTTATAGTAAAATAATTCTTTCATACATATAATTTTGGTTATCATTTTCGCAGCACACACAACGGAAGCTCTCAAAGATGAATAAACTTCCCCGTTTTCACAGTTTCCTTCGCAGCTTTATGTTTTAAGGCTCAACCAACAAAAAATAAATTTTCAATTCGAACCAGTAGTTTCTGAGATTAGCGCGTTCCAACAAACAAACTAATTAACAAACTCTTCAGCTTTATAAATCAGTATAGATATTGCATAAAAGGAATCCAAACTACAAATTACATAACAGCTTTGTGTCAAGGTCCAAGTACTTCTTCTATACTGTATAGTATTCTATAAACTTTTTTTATCTTTACTCAAATATGCGATGTTTATGGACCTCTGTAGCCAAATGGTTAAACGTATTGCTGAACGTTGCGTTAAGCGCGAGAAGTCCCGGGTTAAAGGGGAAAGAAAGTTGTCACTTCACTTGCCTGCTAAAAAACGAATCAGTGAAACGGACACAAAAATGTGTTCGCCCCACGCCTCACGAGGGGGGGAACGGAATTTCACTTTTATAAATATACGAAGTATTTTAATACAATAACTTTTCATAATACAAAAGAATTCTTTGTTTAAAAAAAATAATGGTCCAACTTGATCAGGTAAAAATAAAGTCGAACGTACAAAGAGAAGTTATACCTTTAGACTTTGTTTAATTTGCTCATTCAAGTAAAAATCCTGAAGTTTCTGGGAAAAATTAGACTATATCGCTGACCTGTTACAAACCAATTGTAGGATTATTGAGTAATATTTTTATTGAAATATTTTATCGATGTTAGATTTTTCCACAGTTTAAGGATCTATTATTTTTTTATGACACAGGAGGACAGATAAGGATCGGGTATTCTAGGTGGAAGATGTAATACACCAGCCATATAACACCTTATCCAGATGCACTGTCGACCTATTTGGGCTTTTGTTATTCGGAAATTGAGACACATAAACCGAGACGCGATTAAAACTATTGAAGTAAATAAATTTCACCTTATTTCTCAAATTGTGCCCATGCTACGCGAAATAAATTATTTAATATAATTTTAACTACAACGTTTTGGATGCTTTACAACAGTTGGGGATACAAGGGGAATCAAATATAAGCATATTATGAGTTGAAGCAACCGACAGTTTTATTTTACGAGGCTGATTAAATGATGAGTAGGAATTACAAATTTTATTAAAAATTAATAAAATCATCGAAAATCTACATGGGTGTTTCACTTTTTATTTATTCTCAGTAGATTCTTCATTTGACAAACAGTAATTAACTCTCGTTTACAGATTTCAAATTTAACTTTTGAGATTTTTTCGCCACTTCGTTCAAATGTATTTTTATTTTGTAGTCTAAATAATGAAGGCAATAACATTTCATCCCACGTGCATTTATCTCTTTTATTACGAGTATTTGTTCATTGTCTAACCCCGGAATAAAACTGACATCGTAAACCATTGAATCGGTTTAATATTCACACAAATTGGAAAAAAATATTATTATATATCTGTACTACGTATTTTACTAACACTTTTCAATGTTTGAAATCTGAAATGCTAATATGTAAATTTCAAATTTTATTTCACGTAACGGCTGGAAAGCATAAGAAATTGAACATCAATAAGTGTTAAGGTTGAAATTACATTGTGCGAAAGCTGGATATTTGCTGGTAAAAGCAGCAGCAAGACGCGCTGTGGATTCCAGTTCAAGTCCCGCCCCAGTGAATAGTGCCGGTGTTAGTTTAAGTTAGTTAGTCAATCTTTTTAAGGTAAATATATTAACTTATGGCATATTAGATGGCATTCTGCCATCATAGTCCATAACGTAAAAAATAGTTAATGTTTTAGATAAAGTATATTTTTCGAAGTTTTTCGTACAACGTGAACATTCTGTATGTTAAAACTAAATCTTTCAGTGCAACTCTCTTGCTAGACGCTCCCTCAAATATTTACGAGAAGCTACAGACTTAGAAACATATAGACTGCCGTTAAAATTGTGCCGTATTGAATTGAAATATTCCGACTCAACTTTTTGTTTAATTTCAATGTGCAATATGTACATGCTTCTGTTAAATACTTATAAGTTAAAATATACAATTATTTGATGAAATTGTATTGTGAGATTCCTATCAAATGTTTAGGTGTTTTTGTATTAATGAAAATCTATATAACATATTGTGTTATTATTAGAATTTAATTAAAAAACCTGGCGTCTTATAAAATACAAATATTCGTGTATAATTTCAATTGTTACTCATAGACTCAAAGTCATAGAAACACTTTTGATTTTGTAGTCTATGGTGAAACCACGAAAACTGTATATTAAACAAGGCGAACTCAAGTCCAAACTCTTAGCGGTCTCGATGCAAGATCCAAGTTTTAAGTAGAATGCAAGCTTTAAGCCACTTATTTCTACTAGATAATGATTTAGACAATGGCGAATCTTATGCAATTAGATTTAACTGCTCAAGTGGTAATTAAAAGGTATTTTTTAAAAAGGAGGTCCGGTATTCATTGTATGTAATATTACACTGAATTTTTTTTCGTAAAATGTATATTTCATTTTCTTTGTAAATAAATATTATCCAAATCGATCTATAGGTATTTGCGGCCGCAATCGTATCCTTTCTATTCTCTCGTTTTCCGCCGGTCTGTAAAATAAATTATAAATCTTAATATAAGTGTGAAAATGTACATATTATTATATATATATATTGGGCAGACACATAGCATAGTGTTTTAAGGGACAAACAGATTATTATAGAGATAATAATTAAAGTTTTAAATCCTTATTGTTTATTAAATTGTCTTTTTTAAAATGTAGTAAAAAATTGGTGAAACAGACACAGATATGTGTCTTAAACACGCCCACTAAATTGCTTGTAATAATAAAGGCTTACCCATCTGGATGACTGATCCAAGAAATTTTCCGTTCCACTATATCAAAGCCTCTTTCGCGAGCCGGTAAATTACACTGCCTTCTTCCTCCTCTGCTGTATAGAAAAAAAAGTATTACGTTGTGCTGTTATCAGAAGCTTTTTCTCTACTAACTGTTGTAGGATGGCATCTTAGTTAAAGTGATAGGTTTTATTTACTGGCAACTAATTGATCAAAAATCTGTGCCCTGACCGAGTGAAACAATCGATTGTTTCTCCGGGACTCGAACCCAAGACCTCTCGCGGCTGCTGGAAAACATCCGAAACGTTGGGCCGTCGTAATTAAAATAATTTATAATTATTCCCCAAAAGTTCAAAATTCCTAAACAAATAAACAATTCCATACATCTATCCTCGGAAATATTCTCAATTATTTCAGAAGCATTTTTAGTGCTTTAAGAGCTGAATACTATCCATTCTAGAATAATGATCTTACCCAGCTTCGTTTATGATACAATCCAGAAAAACCCCGTTACACTGAGTGCTCGTGAATAAGTAAGGACCCTCGCACTCCAGACTCTCTGTCACACGGAACACGGACGCGATTCCGATTAAGACCTCGCGAGAACCCACCCACGTCACTAGTGGGCCGCCGTGGTCATTCTAAAACACGTCGGTGTCGGTAGCAATGTATGGTTAGTAATCAACGGGTTCCGGGTTCGATCCCCTCTGGGTCCAACATTTTTTATTAAGTTCGTGATTTCGCCTGGAAATTTTATGGGTGGGAATACCTCATCTATCCTCCTCTATAACAAAAAAAACACATAGGCCACGATATTGCATTACATTGCTACCGATCTTCACTTGTTTTATTAGAAACTTACCTGACATATTCCATGACGTCTTGTATGAATGGTACGATTACCAAGTACAGTGATGTTTGTCAACTTCCTTCTCGTCTCATCATTTTCATCAATTACTTCTTCTTCGTCACCATTGACACACTGTAAATACTCCTGAAAAAACATGTTATGACATGGGCTGATTGATGGCTTTGGCGAATTACCGATTAATATTGTCTTTATTTTTGTAAACTTCTTTCTACCGAGAGAAACATTTATAACTGTACTAAAGATTCATAACATAAGTTATCTACAAGAGACTACACACGGATTTATCCAGAAGTATTTTACGAATCTCAAGACACAGCAAAAACAGCCATTCATCGAGAAGTCCGACTTTGTACCTGAAAGTTCAGCATTCCCGTAAGGCTAACTTAAGTACACAATGTAGCAATAAAGAAATAGCAACTTTATTGCCATGGATCTTTTTGTAACAACCACTTGGCCACGAACGACGAGACGAACAGCTAAGCTAAGCTTGCAATTTCGTAGCTCCGTACTGATTCATATTTTTATTAGCCATTTGCATTGCTTCAATTATCATAAGACCTTTAGCTTTTGGACCCATTTCAAATGTTGCCTGTAGATGATGAAACCGAACTTCTGCGACAGACATGGTTCTATAAAAATTTGCAACTGGACAACGAGGAAATCACATAATACAGGATGATGATACATGTTGTTTGTTTATTTTTAATCGGTCAATATATTTGGCATATATTATTTTGTTAGGTGTTTGAAATAGAGTGAGAGAATTATCGCTTTGGGCTTGAATATTTTCTTTTGTATTATTATTTATTATTAGTTTATTCTTAATTTCTCTGATTTAAAATAAATATCCTTCATAGCAATATGCCTAGAAGGAGAAGGTCGCAGCTATCTAAGAATAGTTTCCAAGCGAGATTAGCAAAAGTTCGTCGTCTTCTTCCTAAAATGATCGTCTGGAAAGTATTACAATGTACGCGTCCCAATCGCGAGCCAGAGATTCTATCGTCGAACGTTCAGGTTCGTCTTGCAGAACAAAATGCAAGATCATCGCAGTAACTTGAAGGAAATAGAGCTAGGAATTCGCGAACGTGTGCACGTTACACTGCGAACCAGCGAGATAGACCACGGTCGTTAACAGAGAGGACGCGCAATACAATATTTTTCTAATTTAGTGATTCATGGTCGTTTTAATTAGCATGCTTATAATTTAAATATATGTACTTATTTATGTCTACCCGTGCGAAGCCGGGACAGGGCCGGTAGTATTTAATAAGTATATATTAAATACTTTAAAAGTACCAAAGAAATCAATGTAATTATTTTGTAAGGGCTTATTATGATTTTCATTCTTATACTCACCACACCATCGATCAGTACTTTCTGGTACACACATCCATCAGCCGGCGGTGTCTTCCTAATAATCTCTCCCCTGTCATCCAAGTTCCCAGCCGCGTACGTACAAATCATGTACTTGTCTATTATCTTTCCCATTTCATCGGAATAATGCTCTTTGCATCTACTCTTGTCGTAGATTCTGGTGGGGGCGTATTGGATTGTATCTTGGTTGTAGTCAGTGCGGTCTTTGGTCTAGTTGAAATAAATTTTCGTCACATTAAATTGCAACAACACAGAAGAGCACCACTTTAATTATATAATGAATTAATCAAGCCAATGAACCAAATGTCCTCCTCTAACCAAAACAAGCTGATTAGTATGTTAAGTCATTAGTATTTCATTATAACGGTAATTACAAATAAATAAATAATCCGTTTATTAAAAGAAGGATAAGTACATATAACTTATTACGAAATGTATAGTAAAAAACTGACAATGAATTAAAAAGAAGCATATTTTTTGAATATGTAAGTAAAATAGTACCACAAATTAAAATATTCGTCCAAATACTATAGACCGGATCTTAACCGATATTGTTATACATTTTAGTGACGGACCGAGTGAAAAACTGTGGCTTAAGGAAAGTAAGAATTCCGGATAATTCCAAATAAGATTATAAAATATTAAAAATACTATAATGAAGTTTGTATGTCGACCGATCATGAACGTTATTTACGTACTCCTTTGTTTAAATAAGCCGAAGTAAGTAGATATGTATTCTAATAGGTTGGTTTATATAAAGTCAAAAGTTGCCAAACTCATTTAAATATTTGTATCCAACTTACTTTTCTCCACTTATGCAAATGTCCCCAACCCATCACAATAGCATCGATTCCAGCCTCTTGGTATCTGGGTTCGTAGTTAATAGAAATTGGTGCTGGTGCATAAGTACAATCTGTCAGGTAGGTTTCGTCGTTCAAACTGAAGGCAGATTCTACTTTGACTACCGCTATATCGACGAACGACCACTTTTCTATCTTGGCGTAGTCCAAATCGTACGCTACAAAACAATATTTTAACTTTTTTAAGATGGTTTTGTCAAACCAAATAGACTAATATAAGTATTCGAAATTCAAGACTTAAAGACCTTCTTTAAATAAAAAAAACTATTTAGATTGAAAGAAAAATCGACGACACGGGCGGGACTTGACTTGGGCGGGATAGGGACATTCAAAGCACGGAACGCTTAGAAGTTGACACAAGACTTTAGTCCGTCTTTTAAAACAAAAAATCTTTTAGTCAGTAATTTGACCCATTGGCAAAATAAAACGTAAGATTAAATGATAGGATATAATAAAATCCTTGTTATCTTCATATATTTTGAACTCCTTACATCCCTAGTGAATAATAAGTCCATTACGATAGACATATTATATGGTATTTTTTTACCTTGAACTTGTTTTAGCAATTAAACATTTGAATATTTTTTTTATTTCTCATCTGTAAATAGTAAGACAGGCTTAATATACAATATCGTTTTACAGCAAGTTAAATCTACGGCAGTTGTCTGCAAGTTCCCACACACAATTATTATATTATTGCAGACTAGCAGTTGATCAAACGAATTGGCCATTCCTAATTAAACTATAATAATATTTTCTCGGGAAACTATGAATCGTACTTAATAGCGATGATAGTCAACTAATTATGTAAATTGCCATTATGTCTCCAAACTTAGAGGAAGAAGCCTTCACACATAACTCACGCTTAAAACAATGAATGGTGCAAACCTAATTCTAAATAAATTACGTTTGGCGAACTGCCAATATTTATCAGTATAAACGAGATTGATGAGATCCAATGACATTGACAAAGCGGGCAGTTTTTATACTCTTACACTGAATCGGTTAAGTATAATGCCAATCTGTACTAATTTATAAAGCTGAAGATTATTTGTTTAAGCTCGCTAATCAGGAACTACTGGTTCGAAAAAAATTGGTTAGAACATTTATCGAGGAAGGTTCCTTGCTAGTATAATAGTATATGCTGTAATACTCGTGGGAGCAAAGAAACAGCGGGAAATGTGGTAAAAACGGGGAAAATTATATCATATTTCTAGGGTTCCGATCTTACGCTGCGAAAACAGTTCGAGATACCCAAAATTACTTATGAAATTCTCTTTAAATGATCTAAAAAAATGTCCACGATACTATATGTCTTTCTTTTGAGATGAACTTACAAGAACGACGGGACTCGAATGGCACGACGTCGTGGGTAACAGCTTAAGTTTATAACGATGAAGAGATTTGCAAAAACAAATTTTGATGCCCAAAATAACTATTTGTCGCCTACGAAGTCGCTGACGCATCTAGCATGTCATATTGTGTAAAGCGAAAATAACGCATCTGAGTTTAATGTTATAGAGTAGAGGGGACATGTTATCTGTTTCCAAACATCTCCCTTTATTAACCCTTGTCTAAGTACTTACTCTTAGGAACACACGTGAAAACCACTTTCTTCTTCTTTGTCTTCGTACATCTATCGTTGTTCAATTCGTTGGGTTTCACGTACTTATTATAGCCGGCGATCACGTACATATGTCGCACATCTTCGACGCACGCTGCTGACGTCACCACAAACCAGGGTGTCACTAGAGCGCCACCGCAGATCCAAAAATCGTACTTTTGCGGAGACAGAGGTGCCTTTGTTAGGTATACCTAGTTCATATGAATGAATATTTTAATTGTAATAAGTTCAAGTAGCAAAATATTTTTTGCGCCTATTTTTTTTTCAGGAGAGAGAAAAACAGACGAGCATGAAGCACTTGATGATAATGAAATACCCCAACCATTTAAACAAGATGTGTTGTCGACTTATTTGGGCTTTGCATATTCGAACATCCACAGACTGAAACAGAAACGCATTGAACACGTCTCTTTCATCAGTGGGCGGACGTACTTGACATGGACGAAATTTAATATCCACATTTCTTGACGAAGTCTTACAGGTTTCAGGAAAATTATATCTATATTAATATATAAAGCTGAAGAGTTTGTTTGTTTGAACGCGCTAATCTCAGGAACTACTGGTGCGAATTAAAAAAATATTTTTGTGATAGCTAGAACATTTATCGAGGAATATATTGGTGTCGAATCCACGGCCATTGATTAATTTCCCATTAATTGCTACCATTAGACCGAGCCCGTCAGAAATAACCAAAATGTCCTACCGCATATTTCTTATGGACTTGTAACGGTTCTCCATCTTTAATTCTTCGTTGGGAGTGGCAAACTGTAATCAAAAAGATCGCAGAATATTATTGATACAACATACTGGGTCGCAGATCTATCATAATCGATTATATTGCCATACTCACTTTGCACAAAAAGTACACACACGAAAGTCGGTAGGATTTTTTTCATTTTAACTCCATCTTAATACAATTCAATCTCATGCTTGAATGAGAACTGCCGTAAACTTTTATTTAAAAGAATTTCAAACGTACAATGTACCATGTAACAATGAAATGATAATAAAACACGAAATAATGTTAATAAGAAGTTTCGTTTCGAATTCCTCAAACGCGCAATTGTTTCAACGGAAAATTAATACAGATACCGTCTTTCCGATTGTAACCCACAGCAAAATTTAACGAGCTTCCAAATTTCTCTGTCTCAATTCTAATTCTCTAATGCAAATTGCCTCTTATCCTATTTATTCAATACCGCTGTCCTGATTGAGCATTGATTGGATTGCAAAGACGGATTATATTATAGGAGCGGTCCATCAAGTCAAACAAGATGGCGAATACGTCTACACTTTGTCTAATGTAGGATGATAGACGTCACAAATCATTCTGAACTTATTTAATTCTTTGTGAACCACACAGTAAATATTAAATTACTGATTAAGTGATGGGAACGACACATAAGTATTGTCTGTAGTTTACGCGAGTAGTAATCATTTAAGTATACTTTTGACAGTTTAAAACGGGTAATATTAGCTTACTTTTAATTCTACGGCCCGACGTTTTGGAAGCTTTGATTGGCACATGAAAAGTGTAATACCGTTTGACTATCGAAATTTATATTTATTTTATTTTGAAAATCAAGCTTTGCTGTATAAGAATTTTTGAAAAAGTAACATAAAAAACTTCAATTACTTGTTGGTTTGTCCAAAATTATTGCGTGTATAATTACTTTTTTCTAGCCGAAGGAGGTAGTGGTGTATTTACGGCCGGCCCAATATTCTACTAACCTCTAACTAGAAGTTACAATTGTAACTGAAAGTTAAAATTCTTGAAGTTTTGCGTAGTTCGCACAAGAGATTTATTCTTAAGTAGGTCGATTAAAACTAGATTTAGGTAAAAGAAAACTGTCAATAACTTATAATGAAATTTATTTTACACAATTACATAACAGTATCTCGATATTATCACTTTATGGTTTTAACGTCTCGTTTAATATACAAAAGCGAAGGGTACAACCTAACCTTTACAAAATTTACAAGTACCTTATTACTAAGACCGTAGGTTATAAAAGGGATAAGGTTTATTACTAAAATATAATTATCATTATTAAAATATGTAATAAAAACTTTCAATTGAAAAGCTATCTTTAGTTAACTTTTAATGTAGATGAAGAAATAAGTAAAAATTATTACGTCGAGAAAGCTTTAAAAAAGTTTTTTATTACATTAGTGAACGATAAAGCTAGAGAGCTTAACTTAAAATATCAATTATTCTTTATACTCAGTCGAAAATATGTAAAAAAGTCTATTAAAGAATACAAACTTAATTTTTAAGGTTACAGTTATTACATATAACAAAAATATGGTGTTGACATTCAAAAATCATATGGAACTCGTTTTGGAGAGCAATAAAAAAATAATTTCTTCTTCAAGTAGGTACAAAAATAGGTATTAAGTGTAAGAAATTTTAGGTGTCTAGATTCTAGCCATTATTAAATGTTACATTATAAACACGACTGTCTTTAGTCGAAAAACGAAATTTATTTTTTTAATGTTTTGTTATATTATATAAAAATTGCCAGATGCGCTTGGAACGTGGGTTTTTAATACTTGAGTTAAAAAATGGAATGGTTGGGGTCTTGACACGCGATATGAACATTTTTACCAATGGCGGACACATTTTAAGTACGATTTAGCTGTAGTGAGTTTTGAAAAGGAAACTTTCTCATACAAAAATCTATAAAAAATGACAGTTCAAAATTATCAACGTAAGTGAAGATAAAATAGAAAATGCCAATGTGTTTTCAAAATTGCAGCAACGTGCAACTGTTAAAACTGTGTTTAATCCGCTCGGCATTAGTGTTGAACTTCTAACGTCATAAGTGAGCACAGTGTGTAGATTGAACAGTTTCACCGATATGACGTCCGCCTGCAACTTCTCGCCGCTCCTTGGAAACACTCTTCACAAACACGGACTGGTTTCATTTGCCCGTAGCGAGGGAGAGGTATTGAATTCGAACTACACGAAGCGCAAAACACTTTACCTGAAGAGACAAGATTGAAAGAATTAAGCATATATGGCTTTTTTCGCAAAGGTGTTCGATGTGTTCGACCGTCGTAATATAGAAACAGTTTTCGACGTTTTTTTTCATGATCAATAAATTACATCATATTTGTTTTTGTTTAGGAACGCTCAACTAAGCGTATAAGTTTATACTAATTGAATTCTAAATTGTATTAAGTTAGATGAGAGAGAGCTATATCGAATTTATCACCAAAATTTGAATTAACTGAAACAGTCTGTCAGAATTAAAAAAGTGTCTTTAACCTCGAGCTAATTTATTTTTAGAAATTCCCCAATCATGCATAGAAATTGTTTTACAACAATAAATTCAATTTATCTTGAAATGTTGTAACTATTGTTTTAAACTTTTTTTAAGATAAACAAACATGGACCAGATTGGGATTTTCATAATTAATAAATTCAAATAAAAATAATAACATAAAAGGTTGCACGTACCACAATTTCTGCAATGGTGTCTGCGACGGAGGGCTGTGAAGTGAACGCTACAGCGCATACAGGCCGGCGCCGCGATGTCCGGAACCCACTCCGGCGCACGCTCCACGCCGCGCACGCGCTCTTCTCTACCACTGCAATTGTTAATTTCAGTAAAATATTCAAATGGAACGCCCATTCCAGGCCACAAACGTACGAGAAATCGAATATTAACCGTGTTTTTAATTAAAACATTTTAATATGCGAAATATATTAATTACGGCTCAACGTTTCGGATACTTGTATTGCATGTAGCAGCCTTCCAGCCAGTGACATTCGAGACACTCTCCATCTTTAGTCCGCCCGTGACCACGGCTGATGAAAAGCATCCGAAACGACGGGGCGTAGTTAAAATAGTTTTGTAAATAAGTTTATGTAATATATTTCGCGTTTTAAACCGTTAAAGTGTTTTATCTAAACGTGTACTCCTCGCGTAAACTACAGACAGTATTTCATTATCCGAATAACTTGTTAACACTACCTTAAAGTGAGATCGCCGGTAGAGACAGACGCCTGCAAATTCCTAGAATTGTCGACGGATTTCCGTCTACCCTCACTGGCGTTAGTCTCGTTTCTGTTAGCGGAGTTCATGGTGTTTCGTCTCTCAGTGTGGGTGCTCTCTGACGGCGTATCCGAATTGCTGTCTGCGTATACTTCTTCAGCTGAGTAGACGCTGTCAAATGAGCTGCCTGGAAGTAGATAAACAATATCATCAAGTAAAAAAAATAATAAAAAGAATCGGTTGAGCCGTTTCGAAGTAGTGTGGTAACTAACACTGTCACACGAGAATTGTATATATATTGTATACATTTCTATTTCAGCCGAGTTACTTTAGATTAGGTTAAATATATGACAAGAATATTAATTAAACTGAAATACATAGATTTTTTGCAGCATACCGTTCTGTATAACTTGGTCCTCTGTGGGTTGGTACTCGATAGCTGGAGGCGGCTCCTCTTTCTCTGGAGGCGTGTCAGTAGTCTGGTTCATAAGAAACACGGCTTTGAGTATATTTCTTAGATCCGCTGCAAAATTCGTCTGCAGTTGATCCGCTACGCCCGCTATGCAGACGAAGAGACGGTGGATGAGATCTTCACTTGACCTGCGAACGTATGTTGCCATGTTACTAAAAAAGAATTAGTTTTATTAGAAGTTAGAATTAGAAGATGAATATACTTACTTAAATTTGGCTCTGGCTTGATGTCTGGCTGCAAGCTCTTGAGCTTGCAAAGCGAGTGCTATTTGTTCGTCGTCCGCACATTCTGATGTACCGCATGATGTTCCACTGTTAACAAAGCATATGAATCTATAAACAAATCAATTAAATTTGGTCTGTAGTTGACGGGGCATTTCAATTAAACACTTTTAATGTTTAACACGTCGGAAACAGATGGCGCTGGCGTAGCAGTTGTGACTTAGATATGAGGTACACCATAAATCATCACTCCCCGTGACCACAGCTTTGAAGCTGCCAAAGCGTCCATCTGTGTGCGTCGTATCCCGGGATTTTATTTAAATTAACGAAAATTTTGATAAAACACTGTGTTAGGAATACTGTTAAGCGCCAGCGGGATGAGTTAAAAATAAGTTAAGTAAATTCATATTTTAAACCGTTAGAAGTGTTTGCTAAAATCCAAAAAAGGCCTTTTTTATGTGTTTGCGAAAAGAGTTAGAAGTGAGGAAGAGCATTAAAAAGAGGCGCAATTAATAATGTCTACTGAAATTCAACCCTACAAATAAATAATTTATCAAATCGGACCCATGGTTTTTGAGATCTGCACGTTCAAGTAAACAAACAAACACGAATTTTTATAACCAAGATACAAACGTAATTTACCTTTCTTCCACAAAGTGATCTAAATTCAATCTAAGCGGTGTGTTCTGATTACGTCGACTATCCAATGTCACCATACTCGGCGACCATTTTTTCTTCTTACTCTTTTTTCCCCCAGACTTTCTCTTCTTTCTGCCACTACTGGAAGAATTGGCAGCTTCCGCATTATCTTCTACAGCAGCACTCAAGTTTTTATCGGAAAGTATACGTAATTCTAAAACAGTACCGAAATAGTATTAAAACAATTATCACAATATAAAAATCAAAAATAAATTTAAAAAAATATCGACTCGGGCAGGGCATTGAGATTATCGCAATTACTGAATAACCTACCGCGTGAAAGGGGGACTTGGGCAAGGAGTCCTTGATACCAATACCTAAAATAACATACAAAATCACGTCTATTGTGTGAGAAACCTTTAGAGTATACTGTTTAATAAGTCTGGTATTTATATAAAACGTTTTCTTTTTAATTTAACGGTTTCAATTTAAAAAAATAAGTTAACTTATTATCTAATTCGTTCCAGTTTTAAACCGTTAAAAGTATAATATTTTATTCAAATGTGTAGAATTCATAACGCCTAAATTACGGACGATATTCTATGTCTTGTATTTGTGACAGATTATAATAAGTCTTCTTTATTATATATTACAGATTTACCTGAAATAACTTCATCCATATCACTATTTGTATCCCAATTATTTACATTATGAGAACTCTCCCCGTTCAATCTATCTATAACTAGGTTGGACGAACCAGCTTCGTTCTTCTGTTCATCCTCCTCCTTATAATTAATATTAACAACATTATCTATATTAAACCTCTCCACCTCGCTTCTATCTTGATCGAAATTGTCCTTAATCTTATTTTGGTCCGTATCCGGCGATCTATCTAGACTCGTGTTTTCTGTGCTGACTCCCGAATCCACCGGCGATTCGGGCTCGCTCTCATAACCTAATATAAATTTAACTCTATCGTCCTCTTTAGCGGAATGGAAACTAGCGTTGTCCTCACTGTTATCGTTATCGATTATATTTCTAAATTCTTCATTGGTCAACAGTAAGGAACTTAGGTTTACATTCGCGATAGTGATATTTGTATTGACAATTTCCGCGTCTATATCGGGCATCATGAATGGAAGATCGCTAGATATAGCTTCGTCGTCTTGGTTGAATACCGCCGAGTTATTGTGCGACAGAGACGCCAATACCGCTGGCTCTTGGCTGATCGCGTTCGGAATCAAATATCCGTGACTAGTACTCGGCATACAACTCAATTGTTCGTTCCTTGGTCCCGAAAACCCGAAGGCCTCGGTGTCATCTGTCAGTGTGACGTCATTAGTCGAGAAAGAATGCATCTGATCTAGAATGTCAACTTCACTGACGATAGAGGACAATCTATCCGCTATTTCGGTAACTTGTTCGTTCAATGACGTCACAAGTTCTTGGTCTGGTATCTGTCTGTTGTCTGTAGACGTCGACACAGCATTTATTAATAGCGGATCGAATGTCATTAAACCGTTAGTCGAGAGGTTTCTTATGGAGGACAGGTCGGTATCCCTGCTTATTTTTCTCGTTCTATCCGAAGTACTATCGTTAGTTTGAAAGGTGTCTGTGCTTGCTGTGTCTGTTAGTTTGTCTGTTTCCTGTTCGGATTCTCGTTCATCTGTGTGGCCGGTGAGGCGTCTAAGTCCGTCGATGATGGGTGTCATCACTTCTATGTTGTCTGGAAGATAATCCGCCTCGGTGATGGTTGGTTCACTGGAGCAGAAAATAATATTAGAGGGCGTTAAATTTTACCTGTAATAACATCAAAATCGGTAAACTTTTATCATGATTAGTTCAAAACCAAGATGATAAAATTACATATTATTCAATAATACCTTTGTTGCGTATACAAGTCTTGGCAGTGGGCGTGGTCAGCGTAGAATTTCGATACAAATTCACCGATATCCGGATAGCACGAATCAGCAGATGAATCTTCAACTGAAAATCAGACAGGTTAACGAAATATTAAAGACATTCAATATGGGATTTTTTTCTAATGGTAGCAATAAATGGCTAAAAAGTTGCGGGTCTTGAGTCAGCAATTTTTTTGAAATTTCAAGCCATAGGTCGACCAACTTCATCGAGCAAGATTATCGTAAGGTAAGCAACTAACCAGGAGCCAATTCCAAACCGGCGAGGCTGGAAACGTCTTCATTGGTGCATAGCAATCTTTCTAATGCTAATAGCTCCCGTCGGTCCAGCGTCCACAGCAAGGAGCGTATCTTGTGCAGCAGCGTCCGGAACGGGCGGAACATATCTGACATCTCTTCTGTAAAATATAATAACACTTTTAACTACCCATAAACATCAATAATAAACAAAAGTAATGAATGGCTTATATAAATGAAATGTCTAAATTATTATAGTACCATACATTGCGCTAAAGGTGCATGTATAAATGAGTTGAACTAATTAAATGAATAAAATATAACGAATCCACAACCTTAGGCGTTCCGTGTCTTTATTTTTGCTCTTTGAGCTAAGAAGATTCAAGTCTTGCCTATGTCATCGATTTGTATATAATGTCAACTCTTGGCATTATTTGTAGTTCCCGCGAGTGCCGAGCATTTCAAACGAGGTTTAAAACACGGAATATATTAATTCCACTTATATTTCATTTACTTTTAATAATTTGTTTATTGTTTGCTGTTCATTATTGAAAACCTGCTTAAATTATAAATAAAATTAACACCTAGTATTGCTATATAAATTATACACTCAATATTCTAGTTGATCGCCTCATTAGCCAGATATTTAAGCGCGAGAGGTCCAGGGTTTGAACCCCGGAGAAAAAAATAGATTGTGTCGGTCGGGCAGGGCAAAGAATTCTGATCAATTGCCTGTAAAACAACCGATCAGTGACAGACACAGAAATATATACGTGCGATGCCCTATAGGGAGAAACGGGATTTTACTTTAATTACCTGGTGACTTGTCAATGGAGAGCGGCCCACTAGAGTATATAAGCAGACCGCTTACAATGGCTAAACGCGGCACCGCAAACATAAGTGCCGGATCATAAGAATCCACCTGAAAAAAAAAACCAAATGTTACTTGTAACAGAGGTTAATGTAATAAATAGATAACTATATATAACAGTAACCAAAAATTCTTAATGCCTGTGTGTAAATCAAATGTTTTAGGTGATACATAATTAGGCTAAAAAATAAACCGCCAATTAAATGATGCTTGTTCACATGAATGATGACATCTACTTCCAAACTCTGGGATAATAGTAGAATTCTTTTAACAGCTATTGCGTCCATCCCGGGGATCGAACTCAGGCAAGTGCACTTATCACTTGACCGGTTGAATGATAAGGCAGTTATGTTGAAATGGGTCGTAAAATGTGCACAATATATTTAACATCAACAAAGTACCAGTTTTTAGGCTGTTGTCGCGCCTAGTAGCATAATGGCACAGCGGGCCTGCAATCGTCTGTATGTCGTCACCCTATGTTTCTATTGGTCTCCTTCAGGTTGTATAAAAAAAAACAGTTACCTGTTCCTGATTTAGTAAATTATGTTTGAGTGCGCGACGTAAACTCTCCGAGAACAACACACAGATAAGTTGCTGGGCTTCGAACTCGTGCGGTGTCTTCACGTTAACCATTGCGCTAACGTAACATAACTCGAACTCGGCGAACAATCTGGAATAAGTATATTATAATATACTTACGTGAGACATCTTTTTGTTTACCTTTCAGAATTGAATAAATACGAAAATACAATAAAAATATGATGATGATAATTAAGTAATTCTGTAGTGTACTAGTAGTACGCATCTAAATAAAACACTTAATGGTTGAAAACGTGAAATATATTAACTTAGAAAAAAATAAATTCGGCCCGACATTTAGAACGCTTTTCAGGAGCCGTAGTCACGGAGGTGGACTGAAGATGGAAGAGTTTCGTAACCCCTGTCCCTATAGTCAAAGTCAAAATTGCAACACTAGCGCCATCTGTGTCCTCGCAGTTGGTATTAGAAACTAGCTGGGTTCTTCCAGAACTGACTACCGCAGTTCCGTTCCAACTGTTTAAACTGTTTTATTTAAATCGTATCTTTTTGAACACAAATAATATTAAAGCATCTAGTTTTTATTTATTTTACAATCTAACAAAGTATTATACAAAACATACATTATTGTCTGGTTATTAATAATAATAATAACGCTTGGCTGAGGTCCGCTGAGGTGGTGAGTTGTTTTTCAACCCCTTACCAAAGGGAGATTGTAATATATATACATAAAAATAATAATAATAATTTAATTTCATAAAAATTGTTTACATAGTGTTTACATTAGGCTAGAGAACATGATCCAAACAATTGAAAACAGCATCCGTTGCCGAACTAGGTGGGAACCTGTATTTCAGCTTTCGGCGCCACTCCCCGAAACATTTTAATTTTTAATACTAGCTAAACTAAAACTATTTACTATTAAACAATATCAGTTACCATAAAGTAATTAACATGTAACCTCATATGATAATATGTAACTTTATTATAACGCTTTTAGAAAATTCGCGTTACAAAAGCACGATGTCCTTTAAAACAAAACATCGTGTATAAACAGAAATCACCAGCGGTACATTTTTAATATCGTGTCTTATATTAATGTCCAATGTTTTATTTCCTACTTACGTAAAAGGCACAAATGTGCAAGGCAATGTGAAAGTCAGTTAGGGGATTAAACAAGAACAAAGAATGACATATAAGTACACATTTTCAAATTGCCATTTTTTTATAGCACAAAACCACAAGGACAGACGAAAAAATTAAGTTGGATTTTTGTTGGACGTAAAAACACTATTATTAACGAAAAATATGTTCTTTTAAACAATATGTGGCACAAGGAAGCCTCAGAAACGTCAGGTCGTAGTTAAAATAAATAAATGAATTTTATTATTGAACACGCATTTTAAACCGTTAAGAGTTTTATGAATATTAAAATCATTTATTTACCCAGGTAACCGTACTATACTCATGTAAACAACAGACAATACTGTACTTTTATAAAAACTTATGCATAAGCTTGTTATACGTAAAACTTGCTTCAATTCATAATTGACTTCAATACCTGTCAAATATACGGAGGCTCTCGTGCAACATATCGTCGTGGTCCTGCAGGGCGAGGCCGCGAGGTCTCTGGCACTGCTCTCGCAGCAAAGAGCGGACCGTCTCCAGACTGCGCGTGAGAGCTTTGGCCAGCGGCCGCATCGCTGCTGACTCTTCTTCCCGGTTCATTATAGAGGAACCAGCTGCGAGGCACTGGAATAGAGATCGAAGATATGTTTGTTAACATTTTTTTGTATGAAAAAGAACAAACAAGCGAGGGGTTAGCTTGCTAGAACTTGACATTTCCCAGACATATATATCTCGACAAGATGCGACCTATTTTGGCATTGGATGTACGGAAATACTCAGACTGAAACCGAAAGGTGACTAAACTTCACGACAGGTCTCAAACCATCTACAGATAAAAAAGTCTGTAGATGAAGTACTGTAGTTTACGCGAGTAGTACACATTTAAATAAAACACTTTAACGGTTTAAAACGCGACATATTAGTGAAACTTATTTGAAAATGATTTTTAAATTCGGCCCGACGTCCGACGCCGTGACGTCTCCCCGTGATCACGGCTCCTGCAAAGCATCCGAAACGTCGGGACGAAGTTAAAAATCATTTTCAAATAAGTTTAACTAATATAGTTTAAAATGTTTAATTTAAATAATCGTGATGGTTCAAGATCTGGGCGGTTTATATTCCTACATTACAGGATTACATGATGTGCTGTATTAAACCTTATCAGTATCTAGTTCCACCTAAGTTACCTCAGCTCCAAACCAAAGCTGTCCAGCGAGGTTGTCCTGCAGCACGTCTTCTGGAAACTTGACACGGAACCCCCTCGCCACCCGCTCGTCCCCCAGAACTTGATCCATGATCTGACTGGTTATGTTCAACACTCGATCCTGGAAGTAACAACGTACATTTATAAACAACTATAAACTAATTAAACAAATTTGGACGGCTGGATGATGTAATGGTAGTATAGCTAATAATTAACGGGTCGTGGGTCTCCACTGGGTCCATCATCTTTTTAATCAATTTATCGGTTTTCTGAAACATGTTAGACTACGTCTGGAATAGTGGATGTTAAGTCGACGACGAAGAGAAGACGATCCACCATCCACAGATCAAAAAGCTGTCAAGTTTAATCGCGTTTCGGTTTTAGGCTGTAGATTTCTGAATATCCAAAGCTAAAATAGATTGTGGCCGGGGTGTTTGACCTACCATGAAGTAAGCCCGATGTTGTCTATCCTCCTCTATCATAAAAAATAGATGTTTTTAATATTATTCTTAAGTGGAATAGTTCTTATTCATTTCCCAACTTTAATTGCCAACATTCATATATAACAGCTAAACCGAATCACAGAACCATCTGTCTTAACTAAAGAAGTAGTAGTTATAAGCAAGATATCAAGAGATGTTTTTCTTAAGATAGCAAGAGAAATTTAACTAATTTAAATAAAACACTTTAACGGTTTAAAAGGCATTATACTAGTTAAACTTATTTGAATATGATTTTTAACTTCGGCCCGACGTTTCCGATTCTTTGCAAGAGCCGTGGTCACGGGACAGACATATATCGCGTTTTAAACCGTTAAAATGTTTTATTTAAATGTGTACTACTCGCGTAAACTATTATCAGTATTTAGTTTTAACTAAGTTAAAAAGTTGACTACGTCGTTAACAAATTTCCCACAGCTGCATATTAAAATACATTTCCACCATGACATCATCTAAGCTATCTTATATAAACATCATCAATATCGCAAGGGTATTAATGATAATCATGAGGTAATATAACACTACATAATATGTTTCGTAAAACACAAACGCAACCCGTATAGGTGACACTTATTGTTCTAAATGACTGAGTATGCTTTCCGAACCATAACATATTTGATGTCGTTATTATTCAACTAGCTGTGCCAGCGGCTTCGTCCGCATAGAATAGTTATGTTTGTGCATCAAAATATTTTTTTGCAAACCTCCTCATTTTACCCACGACGTCGTTCGTGGTCCGTCGCAAATTAATCTTGATAACATACTGTCGACAGACATTTATTAGTTCGTTAGGAGGCTAATTCTTTATAACATTTTAGGAGACTAAACTGATTTTCACAGCGAATAACATACATTCAGAACCATGTTACCTCTTCCCCCCCCCCCCCTCCCCCCCCCCCCCTTGCCCCCCCCCCCCTTCAAACCCCCCCAAACAGATATTGAAAACAAATCGATGACATACATCATCTATAACAACTCTTAGCTTATTATGAACGTAGTAATAATTAAAGAATTTGTTTAAACGCGCTAACGGTTTAAACGGGTATATTGTTAAAAATATTTTCATCTTTGAGGGTTTTCGTCACGTGCGAAACTATAGACGAATTAGTCTAACGTGTAGTTATAGTTAAATCTAAATAAACATTTAGGTACTTAGTAAGTAGCGGCTCTCCTGGCGGTCGGCCCCGGCAGCCTTCAAATTGAATCACTCTACATAGGGTTTGTGCACAGCTATAATTTATAAAAATTGTGAGTTGCGGTATTGTTCTATAAAAGGACAAATTGAGAAATAAATACATTCAGAAATGATGCCAAAGATATTATAACAATATTCCCCGTAAAAGTGCCAATCGATGACATACTTCATCTATACTTATATTATGACGTATTTTCGTTTTGAAATTATGCCAAAATAACTATTCCCCGCGAATGAAGTCGCGGCCATAGCTAGTATTTAATTGAAAATCCAATATATTGAGAACTAAATAACACAGTTATTTCAAAATAACTCATACATTTAAGCACCAATGTAACCTTCCCACACTCGCATATCTTTTGGTCAGTGACTACAAAGATCTACAGATAATAAGGCGAGTACACTGTCAATTGTCAGCGTAGCGACACACATTAGTCGCGTGCGCATAACCAGTTTCCATAGACACGTGACTGTAACGTTCATTGAACACCGTATTGCATGTCAGTATATGGGAATAAGCCTTAACTTAATCGTAATAATTCAATATTAGTTTACAAAATGTATTTAATGCCCTTTAAGATTGATTTTGTTAAATATGTAACTACTTGTACGAAGCTACACTTGCGGTTAGTTTTCTTCCGTCGCGCCCCCCCCCCCCCCCCCCCCCCGGCCCGCCCCCCCCCCCCCCCCCCCCCCCCCCCCCCCCCCCCCCCCCCCCCCCCCCCCCGCCCCCCCCCCCCCCCCCCCCCCCCCTCCTTTTTTGCTTCCTTGGAACAAAAGAAAAAAAAAACGTATCAAAAAAAAAAAAAAAGTTTTATTTCGCGTAAATTAAACATACCTACATAAAAACTTTTTATTCACACAAGGATCACTGTACACTTTTTCTGAACATGTAGGTCTTAGTCTGGAACCTGGATATTGAATTTATCTGGTACAAAAACAAAACTATACAGAAACAAACATCAACTTATTGACGTTCATATACAACTTCCATATACAATTAAATTATAGAGTATTAATAAAATTAAACCTCACAGCTTACACAAAAGCCTACATCATATGATTTTGTAAACAAGTCCTACATTGGTAAAAGCTATTATATAACTTTTATATTGGATTATTAAATAATGACGTCATAAGGGATCCACAGAATGAAACCGAAATGCGATTGCACTGCCAGAATGTTGATGTTACCACCACACATCCCGCCCATTTAATGTCCAGATTTACAGACGAAGTCGATTATAACCATGTCAGAACCAGGAGGAATAGAACCCACGACCCATTGATTACATACACACATTGCTACCAATACGCCGACGAGCCCGTATATTGCATGACTCATTAGTAACAATAATCATTCATATGACGATATTACCGTATTCATAATTAATACGTTGCTCTAATTACGTAGTTTATTCATATGATTCATTGACTGGTATGACAATTTACGAGAAATACCGCGTAAGTAATAATTTTATTTGATAAATAAAAACAAATTTTGCTGAGTATTTACTAGCGTGAAGATCGTAAACAGTACTTATTCATAACAATTAGATGCAATATTCGTTAAGATTCGATTTTCGAATTATGCTTACCGCAAAACCTACTGGTTAATAATTTAATAATTAATTTAAATTAAAAAATCAATTGAGCTACCGAGTCCTACACCTCTGTTAATTGGTTTAAGGTTAAAATTATATTGGGCCAGAGGGAATGTATCAATAAGTTGAAAAAATGAGGGGTAGGACTCGGTAGCTCAATAGCATACCGTACTTGCGCTAACGATGTCGGTTCAAGATGCAGGTCCTGCCCCAGTCGAAAAGTTTTTCAATTTATTTTCCATTTTTAAACTACTTGAGTTATAAGTGTTTTATACCACTAAAGCGAGCCCGATAGTGTTATATTTAAATACATATACATATAAATTATTACTCGCATTAACTACAGATAATACACAAAAAATATTCAGCGCTTTTATATACAGCCTACTTTGAAACGTTAGAAGTATTATTAGATTAGCTGAGCTAAGCTAAGCCACAATGATACTATCGTATCGTGTTTAATTATATTATGAATTTTGCTTGCTTAGAATTCGCGTTAGTCACTGTATGTAATATTATCTATTCAATATATATTTACTAAGAAATAATCATGACCAGAAAGCGTTATTTGCAATATGATTATTTTGACGGGCTCATTGGTTTAATGGTAGGTATGTATGACTAATAATCAACGGGTCGAGGGTTCGATCCCCACCGGGTCTAACATGTTCCTATAAATTTATAAATTTTCTAAAATTATATGTATTTTGTCTGGAAATCTGGATATTAAGTAATAGTTTAAGAAAATATCAAAACTCCGTCCACAGAAAAAAATAAACGTAAAGTGGATTTCCGAATATCAAGAGCCAAAATAGGCTGACTGTTCATCTTGTTTAGATGTTATGTGGCTGGGGTATATCACCTTACATGAAGTGAACTGTATGCTTGTTTGCCTTCCTATATATCACATTAAAAAAAAAACAAGTTTACTATTTATTTATTATAATGTAATTTGAAAATAGTGCTTCACATAGAAATGCACGAAAGCCATTTAATTACAACATGTCAACAACTGACGTTCTTATGTGAATGTTTGCGCGATCAGTCAAATATAGTTGCAATGTGAGCCCAATAACTAACGGGTCGTAGATTCCATTACGACCGAATTTAACATGTTTTTAAAGTTTTTCTAAACATCTTAGCACCAATGAGGAAAATCTGGACTTTGTAAAGTGTGGTAGTAATTCCGAAATCCGTCCCGAACCACCGTCCATACTTGCATACTTGGAAAAGCCGTAAAGAGTGACATGCGACTCTGTTTTAGTCTGTATGCCGACCTGGGGTATCTCCTTGGGGCCAAGTTTTTGAATGTTCTCTTCTAAGAGGCGAATATTTCAAAAACATTGGATGGAACGACATTGGGACGCAACACATCGGCTACATATTAATAATACGCCAAGCGGCGCCGTGGGCATTGGCTAGTATTATATATGCGATATACGTGAATATCAATGTTTATGTCACGTGAAGTTAGCAAACATACAAGGAAGTCCTAATACGCACACCTCTTGAATTTACAACGCAATTATCAGATCGAGAGCAAGGTACTGGGTTATGGAATTAAACGCGTCCAAACCGGTTCAAAGTGAAGTTTTTATCTGATTGTACAATCTAGACGTATCGGGTTATTTTCTTGGAACTTCTGGAAAATTACTCGCGAAAGGGTTTTAAGGTCTCTAAAGGGACAATCACCTGAATGTTGAAACAAAAATGGTCACGGTAACTTATATTGGTAAGTACTTATTAGTACTATCACTTTTTTTAGTGGGTAGACAATATTTTCCGGTTTTTAGAATTGGCTCTTGCGCTATATCAAAACCTCACTATTAAATTACGTCACACCTAAGACATAAGACATTTTATTTTGTGTCATAAATGAATTACAAACAAACGCTCCTTTGTTTGTTTCTTATTAAATACCTTCTGGAGGAATAAAGTAATTAGATCTATTAACATTTGCTAACCGTAAAACAATGCACAGATGAAGACTCAATCCTAATTTGCATTACTCATTTGACCCAGCAAAAATGTATGAGTTACAGATTTGCACAGCTAGAATTCTCCGAATCAAAAGCGCATGACTAGTGTAGTAAAAATTCGAGAACTATCGAGGTGTCTGTTGCATGTGTAAGGGGAGATATTATACAATGTTAGCATAATATCAATTGATGTGTTTATGATGTATTATTAAATTATGATCTATTTATGTCTGCTGTCAAAACTAATGTGCTTAACTTCTGGTACATTCTACTAAAATTGTTTGTCTTGTAATTTCCACCGCTTAATATTGCTGTTGTATATATTATACATATAAAAATGTGCTTTCAAGAAACGATTTTTCACTCATTATAAACCGGTTTCATAAGTTTATTTTAATATATACGGTTATTTTAATCGTTATGTGGATAGTTCAGAAAACTTCACACAAACTATAAATGCCACGACAAAATCTGGCATACAAAAACGAGAATAAAACTTCAGAGTTTTCCTTGCAACAGTCAAGAGCCACGACATTTTAGTTATTTAGATAACTAGGGACTATATTTACGTTAGATATTAGGTTATCGAGTGATCCGTGGCAAAATATAAACCGCTGCGCGGATTTCATGCTCGTTGAATCCATGTAAATAAAAAACAAATTAATTGTAATTGAATATTTAAAAAATCACTTCTTAAATACAAAAGGTATAAAATAACTGTCTGTAACTTAACGAACAAATATAATATTAATAAAGAATTATCCGCTTGGAAAATTGCTTATTGAAAAAACAATCTTGATAAAAACGAAACAGACTGAACAGCTAATCCCGCCATTTGCAAGTGAGTCATACAATCACACGCAAAAAGGCAATTCAAGGTACGATCTGCGTTTATCGAATACAGCTCGATTGTCTGCCCACTTCATGTATACAAATCTCTGATATGTCTGTATCTGTAGTAAGGTATATATAAGGCTGCTAGAGGCAGAGTGGCTTTATAACAAAAATTTATTGTACTATTATTTTTGGAAAAATGTTTGTTAACAATTTTCTGTACTCATGTACATTAACACGTTCAGACTATGAAAATATCAATAACTCAAGTCATAAAATTGCAGTTAAGATGAACGGCCTCATACATGAATCCAAATGATATTATGCGTGACGAAGAATCGATGTCTATATTCTTCTGTTACATTTCATGCTTTACGATATTTCTTAAATACTCACTTTTCAGGATATTAATAACGCAATAAGATCTATTCGGAACAGACTCGACCCACATGTATGTATCTATTTAGAAAAGACGGTAATATTGAGTTGTATTAGTTAAACACGACGCTTCGGATGCTTTACTTCAGACGTGGTTTCCACGTGACTTTCTTCAAACCATCCGAAACGTCGGGCCGTAGTTAAAATAATTTTCAAATAAGTTTAACTAGTATATATCGCATTTTAACTTCTAGCGCTGGATTTAAAAGTTTTATAACGTAAGAGCCAAGATCATTGCTGACTTCTCAACGAATGACTGGGAAATAGAGGATGTAGTATATAAGCAAAAAAATCTTACGAGTCCAGAACTACAAAGAAGAAAATTAGCCAAGCTAATTTGAGATCGCTGTTTGGCTGGAGACTAGGGCCCAAATCAGGAACTATACAGTCATTGATAACGATGTGTCTAATGACCTTAGTTTTAATAAGATATGTACTGTAAACATACTGAATCGGTCTAAAGTTCAACAAAAGTAATAAGAGCATGACTGAGAATTATCGAAAATTTCCACTACTATTGAAAAATCGCTAAATACTACACCTGTGTTAATAAAACATAATATTTTAGTAATCTTTACGGTAAATTCAAAAAGGTCAACGACCTCCGATTGAGCATTGAAAATCAGGATCAATATCTAAACAGAGGATACGTATTTCATATTGCTATCGATACAAACGACGTTAATTAGAACAAAAGAACAATAGAGAGGAATTTCCTGCCAAACTGTTAACGGTACTCGACAGTTTTAACAGATTTTTCATACATTTTTCGCTATAATCTGCGAACATTACTCATAGTCATGCGGGTGTTTAGAAAAATGCGTGTGTCACGTTTTTCGCGAAAAACATTTCGTTGAATAACAGTACAAAATTGTAGGCATTATGGTAATGAAGTCCGATATAAAATGAATAACATTATGTATAATACTGACGGGCGTAACTGTAGCAATGTATGGCTAATCAACGGATTGTGGCTTCGACCCCCCGGTCCAACATTTTTCTAGAGAATTTATAAATTTTCTGAAACATTTTAGACTTCGTCTGGAACTTTGGTTATTAAATGTGTGTTCGCGGTCGCGGATAAAAAAGCCGTGAAATTAAACCGCATTTCAGTTTCAGTATATAGATTTCCGATATCCAAATAAAAAAAGGTCGACCAGCGCACCTTGTTTAGAATTATATGGCTGATGTATTTCACCTACCATGATGAAAACCTATATTATCTTAACAAAAAATACTACCACAAATAGAAAAATAAATAATTATAGATTGAAATGTTTTTTAAACTATGGAAGGTACAGTTTGGCTTTAGTTCGTGGAATGGGGAGATTAATCCTATTCCTTTTTCACTCATTCATTTCTAATCAAACTTTGTACTCGCGCCGAAACAGGTAATGTTGCACTTACACTATTTAATTTTGTTTTTTTAGGAAAGTGGTGAATTTGGCTTTAGAGATTTATGTTTCCCAGAGATTTAAACTCGGAACTCTCGCTAAACTCGCAAAATTATCAAGTAAGAGTAAGAGTAGTAGTTCTCTTCCAAAACAGTCAACAGCTACACGAAGAACCAACCTGCGCATGACGGAGCTGATTGACGAGCGTCGAGCACCTCTCGGGGTCTTTTCGACCGTCGAACGAGTCCAGTTCCGCCGCAATCATGTTGAGCGCATCGTCCGCGAAGAAGAATTGCGCTAGTAGTGAACGGTCGTCCCTCTGAAAAAGACAACAATTACAATTGCATTATGTATTGCATAAAAATACATGAGTGCATTTTCTGTTTATTTATTTATAATAGCTTAATCTTTACGGAACACTCCGAATGCGATAGAAATACTAAATGATTATATTCAAATTTTTAAATACAATAACACATCTTGAAGTTACGTTTTTGTCATTTCACCCACACGTGAAAATGTCCTGCGACTTGCTGATAATCCGCATAGCACGTTAATAAACATAGCTATTAAGTCCTAAAAAGATATAATTGAATTGGATACATATTATTAACAAGAAACATTCCTTGACGCTAATCTATACTAATATATAAAGCTGAAGAGTTTGTTTATTTGAACGCGCTAATCTCAGGAACTACGGGTTCGAATTGAATAATTTTTGAGTTGGTTAGAGTATTTATCAAGGAAGGCTAGGCTATAGAAGCATACCGCTGTGACCAATAGAAACGAAGATATAGAGGGAAATGTGAACAAAACGGGGAAAATTTTTCATCTCTGTGGGTGTCTGATACCTAGGTATCAGACACCCACGATGCGTGAAAAAGGGTTCAAGATACACAAAAAATATGTATAAGAAAATGATTATTCTTTAAATTATCAATAACATGTCGGCGACAGTATATATCTATCTCTTAAGATGAACTTGCAAAAACGACGGGAACCGAGCGACGGGGCTCGACCGATGACGTAGGTTAGTTTGATAGATGACCCGAAATATTATTATATACTATTTCACGCGGACGAAGTCACTGACCCAGCTTATACACAATAAAATTAAAATCGTATACACTACACTAAAGATCCTTACACTTGAGTTAACCATTGCATTCGTTCTTAACTGAATGCAATGTGCTTATCAACCATTTTACAGTGATAACAAAGTAAGACTGTTCAGTCACACTTCACAACGAATAAAAAAAATCTAGTAATTGAAGCTGAATATATGCCTAGTTTTCTCGAATCTAGATTTTTTCAGTAATTATACATATCTGAATAAAACAGTGAATGATAATTTTCATAAGGTCATCTTTAGTTTCATGCATTAACAACGAAAAAAATATTGTTTTATCGTTAATATTATTAGGTAAGTACTTGTTATCACTGCTAGTATATAACAAAATAATTACAAAACATACGTAATATCAGTGTCATAATTATAAAGGTCAAGATATTCAATTAATGTGATAAACCTTATTATTAAGTTAGCTACATTATTGATTTTACGCCTTTCGTATTGGGTACAATATAGTTTATTGGTTTCATGTTCAGTTTTGGTCATAGTAAAAAAAATTAAAGACGTTTTGTTTTAGGTTGCGCTGTTGCCCTATTTTATTCAGACGTTCTGTTTGAAATGTGGATGTCCACTTTAGAGATTTTCTTTATGTGTGAGGGGTGATTAGTGACCGGAATAGTATTTAAAAATTCCTATCACGCAATATATGTCTAGATTATCCGACGATTAAATAACTAATACATTACGCGATTGAAACCGTTAAATGTGGAGCATAAGCAACAGACAGTACTTTACCAGACGTTCACACATGTTGGACCCGGCACGATCCGTTGGTTTTAAACCATACATTATAGACAGCTGTAAAGTCTTACATTTGTCAACTAAACCAGTTTAACTCAACGAAATTAGCTGTCTTGTTATCGACCTCCTTGGAAATCTTTGAAATGAACTAAGCCGTGAAGATTACTCCTGGAATGGTATATTCCAGAAGTAATCTTCTATCGATAGGAAACTATCAAATAAAGGTTAATTATGTAGGTTATGACTTCAAATCTATTATCCTTAACGGAAGCCGAGTCAAAACAAATCCAATATGGTTTGTTTAGTTAATATTTTATTTTCACTTTGTAACTCCGTATATCGCACCTACCCCTGCCTTAAATGGTTCACCGTAAATAATATCTGTGAGTCATATTAATATAGCGTGAATTAAACGTGATACAATCGTAACGAGAAAGTGTATTCCTCGCGGAATATATCTACGTTTGTAGATTACACAATTCGAACCCGATGCTGACGGAATAAAAATTAACCGATTAAAAGAAAATTGGAACAAAAGTACAAAACTATTACTCCACAATGATATAATTAATGAAGAAATTAATATTTACAAGGTTCCCTAGTTAGCATTTTCAATTTGCAAACAAATAAAACCAATAAGCGATCTATGATTGAAGAATATTATAATTCTGTGAAAAATGAATATTTGATTATGTAGTTTGTAATAAAATTACTTCTGACATTTAACAGAGCGCAGTTATTAAATGTCAGACGAGATCTTTGGTTAATTGGCCTGGCTTTTGGAAATCTGGCTGAAATTGGCTTATGTTTGGGAGTGGAAGTCATGCATGAGGCAAAATGTTAAGCCTTATCGCGAAATACGTCGTCTTCAGTCCTTCCTACCAGGGCTGGAACGAATCCCCTATGTGATAGTAGATCACAGAAAGATATTATATCGATGACACATATATATGATTTTACAATGTTTTCTTTGAAGGAACAGCAGGTAAGATGTGCGCAAAGATACGTTAAGTGAATACTGTTTGTATTTTACGCGAGTAGTACACATTTAAATAAAACACATAAACGGTTTAAAACACGATATACATTGGTAAAACTTATTTGGAAACTATTTTTAACTACGGCCCAACGTTTCAAACAAGTTTAACTAAAGTATATATCGCGTTTAAAACCGTTAAAGCGTTTTATTTAAATACGTTTAGTGTACAACTAGATATTGAACTTCCGTCCGATCAAGTACTGATAACACGTCGATAAAAAAATAAACGGATTATAAATCTCATGGCACATTCCAGTATTTCTCGTTTATTGCAATTGAAACTTGTATAGATTTAAATGCAACTGTTTCTAAAGAAAAGAAACACACACACACACACACATTGATACTATACGCACTGCACAAACACGAATTTGCGTTGCCGATACATACTTTGCGTATGCTCTTGCACAGGAGGTATACAAAAAGTGCTTCCTTCACGTCCATATCCTTCGGCGATGTATGCAAAACTGACAAAACCGGATCCCTTATCAGTGGAGGGCATGGCTCGAAATTTCAGGAAACCGAAAAGCTTTAGGGCCTGCATCGTGAGGTCACTGCGCGCGTTTAATCCGCACAATTAAGAGGGCAAGGAGTTCAAACAGCTGCTGCGAGCTATTACGACACGCGCGTACTTGTTGACAGAGACAGGAGTTGTTTTGATTTTAGAGGACAGTTATCACGAAACTAGATATCGTAATTGATCATTATATAAATTAGAAATATAATCTAAAATCAAAATAGATTTTTCATTTACGTTATACCAGCATGTGTTGCATGTTAAAAAAATTGATCATTGCAACACTTCAGTGTAAAAATTGATATTTTTTGTACTTTACTCAATAACCTATGCAACGTTAGAACAAAGTACTCTTTATATGGTATTCAAGCGGTTTAAACTTTTTTGGAAATTTTATTTTATACTTTTCTGTAGAAGTTCAGATTAGTGTTGCACCTACATAATACCCATTTACCCTTTTGTAAAACAAGTGTATGCCTTTAATCGTTACATTATATTTAAATAAACACTTGTAAAGGTTTAAAACGCGAATGTTTTTAACTACGACCGGACGTTATGCTTCACAGCAGCCGTGGCCGCGGGGAGATTAAACCAAGTAAAAATAAATTGGGTTTTACAAAATACACAAATACATTTCCTTTATAAACCGTTAAAAAAAATTAATTAAAATGTAAACTATCACGTAAACTATAAAAAGTTCTTACATCAGAATAATAATTAAAGAAAATAATGTATTAAGACATTTTATAAATATTAAAGTATCTCAATTTAAAATTGTTAGGCGAGTAGTACACAGTTAAAAAAACAAACCTAAAACGAAAGCTCATTCATCATTTTCAAATAAGTTTAACTAATATATCGCGTTTTAAACCGTTAAAGTGTTTTATTTAAATATCTCAATTTATACCTAGTGAGACCTTACGAATGGTAACGTAATTAGGAAACACCTTAGTATAACTGAAAATGTAAGATAGGTATACAATCAGTGAATGTGATAGGGCAATATAGAGTTACTATAAAATGCGGATAAAACCTTAAGTCTTAGTTTATTTTTAAACTCTGACTGCTACGTTTGAATGATCACGATAGCTCGTGCGTAGAAAAAATCAAATGTATAATTTTTATTAATAGAATATTAGAAGAAATGTATATTGTAATAAGGAGTATTTGCTTAAGACGTCGATATTCAAAGCACAATGTTTAAATGCGTTTCTCAGCAAAGTTCTGGGTTTAAATCCAGGATAAATCACAAAAAATAGTTGAAAGACGGGCAGAGTAGGTACAGAACTGAGTAAATACATGCAAATTAAAAACCTCAAAGCAAACTGGACACTGAAATGTGTCCGCCCCATGCCGTGAGGAGTGAGTCACACAACCTAACATTACAATAATTAACCACAGCTTATAGGCGTAGATATTTCGAGCAGTCAAGTTATTCGAGCATAATTCATAACAACCCCACCTGTTGTCACGGAATATGATAATAGTGGGCAATAAAGTAAATGTAAATAAATGTGATTTATACATTTAAGGAGCGCTATCAAAACTTTTAAAGAAAACAGTAGTTTACTTATTAACAAATTATTTTAAGTACGGCCCGATGTTTCGAAAGCTTTGCAGCAGCCGTGGTCACGGGGAGACACTTAATTGATGATAAGTAACGAATATATTACGCGTTTTACACCGTTAAAAGTACTGTCTATAGTTTACGCGAGTAGTACACGGTTAAATAAAACACTTTAACGGTTTAAAACGCGATATATTAGTTAAACTTATTTGAAAATGATTTTTACCTTCGGCCCGACGTTTCGGATGCTTTTCGATTTTTTTTTAATCATTTTCAAATAAGTTTAACTAATATATCGCGTTTTAAACCGTTAAAGTGTTTCA